GGGGCTTGGCCGTGGATCTCTGCATCTGCTTCCATCAGTCACTGGATAAGAGTTCTATCACGACAGTTAGGGTGTTTGGCCATCCGATCACCAGAGTAGGTCAGTTCGAGCTTTCTCTCGACCATTGCCAGTAGTCTATTGTGGAGGTATCTTTGTGGATTTCTGGGGACCTCTCTAGCACTTTGCTTCTTCCTATTCCCATGGGGTCTTCATTTATCATGGTCTCTCTTTCCTTGTTCTCCCTCTCTGTTCTTGATCCAGCTGGAATCTCCCGCTCCCCTAAGCTCTCTTTCCCCTTCATTACCCCCACTCACATCCAATTTGCTCATGTAGATCTCATCCATTTCTCTGTCATTGGGTGATCCCTGAGTCTTTCTTAGGGTCCTCTTTACTAGGTAGCCTCCCTGGAGTTGTGAGTTGCAGTCTGGACATCCTTTGCTTTACATCTAGTATCCACCTATGAGTGAGTACATACCATGTTTGTCTTTCTGAGTCTGGGTTACCTCACTCAGGATAATTTTTTTCTAGATCCATCCATTTGCCTGCAAACCTCATGATGTCATTGTTTTTCTCTGCTGAATAGTACTCCATTGTGTATATGTACCACATTTTATTTATCTCTTCTTCAGTTGAAGGGCATCTAGGTTGTTTCCAGGTTCTGGCTATTACAAACAATGCTGCTATGAACACAGCTGAGCATGTGCCCTTGTGGTATGATTGAGCATTCCTTGGGTGTATGCCCAAGAGTAGTATAGCTGGGCTAGACACATGTCTTAAGGCAACTTTTCTAAGCAGACATTCAGTGCATGTTTAGGGATGTGCCTGCTGAAGACCTAGTATGTGGCATAGCGGCAGAACGCTTGCCTGGCATGCACAGCACCCTGGCATTGATTATTTTAAAAGAAGGATATGATATATGCTGTGGGATGGTCTGTATGTCAAGCGTGTTGCTGATTAGTCAATAAATAAATCACTGATTGGCCAGTGGCTAGGCAGGAAGTATAGGTGGGACAAGGAAGAGAATAAAGCTGGAAAGTGGAAGGCTGAGTCAGAGAGACACTGCCAGCCGCCATGATGAGAAACAGCATGTGAAGATGCCAGTAAACCACGAGCCACGTGGCAAGGTATAGATTTATGGAAATAGATTCATTTAAGATATAAGAACAGTTAGCAAGAAGCCTGCCACGGCCATACAGTTTGTAACCAATATAAGTCTCTGTGTTTACTTGGTCAGGTATGAGCGGCTGTGGGACTGGCGGGTGATAGAGATTTGTCCTGACTGTGGGCTAGGCAGGAAAACTCTAGCTACAGATATGATTATCTGTTTTGTACAAAAAAGTTGCTAAAGGATGACTAATTAATTCTTTGTTGCTTGCCACTAATAATGATATAAATTCCGCAGCCCTGGTCCTCGTTGATGTCTGTGGCTCAAGTTACCATCAAAGGCAGTGCAGATGCACAGAGTCTGGGCTGACAATTCATGGCCATGTTGGTGCCCAGGAACATGCTGCCATTAGGACCATGCAGACCATGATGGCCTGCTCTGCCACTTGGGGCCATATTGATGTCTGGCTCATGCTGTGGCAGGGGACATGTCTGAGTCCGTGGCCCTACTGCAGCCAGGGTCTGTGTTGAGGTCTGTGACTCTTGTTGCCATGGGGCAGTGTGACTGCTCAAGGTCTCTACCACCACCTGGGACCATGTTGGAATCTGGGGACCACGCTGATGCTGGGCCCATACCAATCTGAGAAGCCTATGCTGCCACCTGGGGCCATGGTGACATCTGGGCCCAAGCTGCTGCTGCTGGCCATGTCTGGGTCTGTGGTCCTGCTGCAGCTGGGGTCTGTGTTGATGTCTGTTGCCTGTATTACCAAAGTGGCCCATGTGAACCATGTGTTGAACCATGTATTGAATCATGAGTTGAAGTGCAAGGGTCTCACTGAGCAGACTCTGCTCATCACTGGCCTGGGGGAGAGCCATTTGTCCCTCACTGGAGAGCTGACCCTATCCCTCGATGGCCCTGGGATAATGGATTCAATCACCCCAGCACAAAAAAGCTGGCCCCGCCCCTAATAAGAGAGCTGTTTCCCCATTAGGAAAGATGGCCCCAACCCTCACCAGAGGAGAATAGTCCTAGCGGCCCGGACTGACCAACTCAGAAACCACCCAGGTACAGATCCAGGGTTTTGAGATGGCACATCCTAACATCTACACCATCTCTATGACCTACTGGAGATCATGAAGGGATTGGTCCTGGGGAGCCGTGGCCACTTGGTCTATATGACTTGGGGCAAGAACATGATGTCTGGGGAGTTTCCATGGCGGTCCAGTGTTGATGGTCTGCCAGAGGCCAGAGGCCTTAAACCTGACCAACACACATTATATAATGAACATTTGCAAGGAAAGCTGTTTGGACAAAGGGTATACTTCATGTTGTACAGCAGCTCCCAATGCCACTGAGATGAATGAAGAGGCTATGGAGAGGCAAAGACAGAGGAGCAAAGTGTTCTGTTTTGTTTTACTTGTTTTTTGTTGGTTTGTTTGTTTTTTAATTGAAATTGGTATTCTTATTTGTATTTTTTAAAGATTATCTATCTGTCTGTCTATTTATTTATTTATTTATTTATTTATTTATTATGTATACAGTGTTCTGTCTGCATGTATGCCTGCACTGCAGGTCAGAAGAGGGCACCAGATCTCATTATAGATGGTTGTGAGCCACCATGTGGTTGCTGGAAATTGAACTCAGGACCTCTGGATGATTAGTCAGTGCTCTGAGCCATCTCTCCATCCCTATTATTTGTATTTTATTTATTATTTTTTATTTTTAAATCTGTATCTTCTTTTTTATTTCATTTTTAGTTTTCCTTGGGGGGGGGGACACTACAAGGGTGAGGGATGGATGCAGAGGGACTGGGAGATGGGTGAGACTGAGGTGTATGATATGAAATTCCCAAAGAATGAATTAAAAAAAACAAAGATACAAATAATGAATTTTTAAAAAGAATGATATAAATTGTTGAACATTATCTAATGATCTTTAAAATGTAAATTTCTCCTAATTATATGAAAATCAGGTAAAATAAACTGAATAATTACTACCCAAATATAGACTAACGCCTCATATTTTATGTGTGAACACACACACGAGAGAGAGAGAGAGAGAGAGAGAGAGAGAGAGACAGACAGACAGACAGACAGACAGACAGAAAGACAGGGAGACAGAGAGACAGAGAGTATAAATGAAGTAGAAGGCTCAAACTCCAGGACCATGGTGCTTGGGTCTGAAGGGTCAAGTACCATTCACTGACTGTAACTTACACTAGGTCACTTAACTTTTCTTTCTTTGTCTGAAGATGGAAATAACAGTACCCTCTACCTTACTGGAAGGATAAACTGAGTCAATATCTGGGGCTCAGTAGAGAATTATGATAGAGGACTACTGTCATCACTTATCTGTATACATAAATGACTGGAAAGATACACAATCTACTTTGGGTAATAGAATTACAATGATGTTTATTTTTCTTTTGATGTCTTGATCTTTCTTTCAAGTACATATATACTTTTAATAAGAATTTTAAGCTGCTTAATTAAAATACTTGGGGGCTAGAGAGATGGTTCAGTGGTTAAGAGCACTCACTGCTCTTGCAGAAAACCTGGGCTCAGTTCCTGGCACGTATGTGGCAGATCACAACTATTTGAAACTGTGGTTCCAGGGGATCTGATATCCTCTTCTGACCTCCACACAGGCACCAGGCACACATGGAGCACACAAATACACACACAGGCAGAACACTCATACAGATTAAATAAACAACAAATAAATCTTTTTTAAAAAAGGCTTTCATATACTTCTTGAGGAGTTAGACTAAAACTAACAAACAAATGAAACCCCCAGTTACTGAGAAACTATTGATACTATGGGTATACTGAGAAGTCATTGGGGGAAACCCTCCGTTGTGAGAAGCCATGTCTGGAGGGAACTGCAGGCTGCACTATCTAAATGTATGTGTCAATGTAACAAATTCTGATACCTGATTTTTGGTCAAACCCAATACAGACGTTGGCAGAAAGATATTTTTTTGGATGTGGCTAATGTTTATATTAGCAGACTTTGAGTAAAGCAGGTTATCTTTTCAAAGGTGGATGGGCCACACACAGGCAGGAGAGAGACTGCGGAGAAAAGCCCTAGGCCCTCTGAGGAAGAGAGCCTGCCAACAGACTCAGTGCGCTGTCAGCTGCCACTGAAATTTCCAACCCACTAGTCCTAAAAATTCAGACTTCCCAGCCCCTAAATGGAGTGAACAACTATTCCTCGAGGTAAGCTCTTGACTAAAAGCCTGTCTTCACAGAAGTATCTAGGTGCATCCTGTGGTTCTGTGTCCCTTAAGAGTTCTAATTAGCACACTCTGTGAAGAAACCAGGCTGAACGGGAGCAGCCAGGGCTCTAGGAGCAGAGGGAGAGCTGGCCTCTTGCCCTCACTGGAGGGGAGGCTACCATGTCAGAAAGCATAGACTTGTTGACATTGGGATATGCAAGAATACAGTTTCCACGTTTAAAGAACAAACAAAAATGCACCTTTCACCACAGTGGAGCTGAGCTGGAACTTCCTCCTGAAGTGATACACCCTGAGGACCTTACATCACCCCCCAACATACTTCCCACCCTGCAGGGTTTGTGCTAGCTTTCCATCTGAGGTAGTTGCCAAGGCAGACAACCAGAATGGAAGCATCAGGAACAGTACATGAAGAAAATATGGTGTCCCCAAGCCTTCCTTGCAAGATATGGGATCTGTAGGCCTGTGTGTACAGTTTGAGCACTGGATTCTGGAAGGCAGCAAGCTCTCCTTCTCTGGTTGGGCAAGACACTTGCGTAGACCTTAGGAACTGTGGGCAAAATGAATTCAAAGTGACAGACCCCACATAATCTTAAAACCATTTGAGCTTTATTTCCAGAAGGCATCAACTGTACATTCACAGTAGCTTTAAGAATAGCATGCAGGTGCTTCTGGGGTGAATTCCAATCTTCTTCCTGAGAACTGTGGAGCCGTGCGGGTGTGGTCCTCTGGGTTTTCTACTTGTGTAGTCTGTTTCTATGTCAATCATCAAATATTCACATCCCTGTGCCACAGCTTTGATAAAGCAACAGAGAATGTTCTGACAAATGTCCATTTGTGGTCAGCTGTTCAGAATTTTCATCCACTGCGAATCAGATGACTTCTGACCCCACTTTGCTACTTGGCATGTTGTAACTGCAGTAGATGTATCTACAGATGACACAACCATGCACACATGCTCATTATCCAACTATGTCATACTCTAAAGCCTGGTTTGTGACCACAGGAGCCTCTGGTCTCTCTGTTTAACCACATTAAGTCTTCTTGTTTAAGGATCATGAGCTCAACTCTGAATTGCCAGTGTTCCCTTATCACCTTTTCCCTGTCTTCATTACTGGCATCATAAGTCTACTATTGTTTGAAGGCCTACTGTCAACAGCCACCAGGAAAACTTTTTAAGGCTCATTATTTCCCTAAATCTATACACCACTCATGAAAGAAAAGTATCATACAAGTTCCATTCTCAGACAAAAGACCAAGTTTCAAAGATTTATAGGATTTATCTGAAGTCTCTGAACTCCTTTTAGAGGAGCCTGAAGTCAGCTAACATACAGAGGCCTCTGTGTGTGTGTGTGTGTGTGTGTGTGTGTGTGTGTGTGTGTGTGTGTATGTGTGTGTGTATGTGTGTGTGTGTGTATGTGTGTGTGTGTATATGTGTGTGTATGTGTGTGTGTGTGTGTGTGTGTGTGTGTGTGCAGGGGTGCCTGTGTACATACTTGTGTGGGTGGACATGTGTGCACATGTGTGTGTGGAGGCCAGGGGTCAACATCAGGCTTCTTCTGAACGTCTCTCCATATTATTTTTGGAAACAAGGTCTCTCATGGAGCCTGAAGCGCACAAATTCAGCTAGACTGGCTGCCAGTGAGTCTGAGAATCTGCATGTGTCTGCAGCCCTGGTGCTGGGGTTGTAGACACTCGGCTGCACCTAGTTAGTATGTGGGTGCTGGGGATCTGAACTCAGATCCTTATGCTTTTGACACAATAATCTACTGACTAGGCCACCTCCCCAAACCCTCGGTTTCTAGCTGAACAACAATAAAAGGTCATGTCTGCCTAAATATATCCTGGGAAGAGAAAGATTCAGAAGCAAGAATGAAGGTCTCAAGTTCTTGGCTAGCGACATCAGAGGAAGAGGTTAAAATCCATTGTCGTGTGAGATAATACATGATAATTCAGGACTCCATACCTCAGCCTTGGAGAGCTGCCTGTGGAGGTTTTCCCTTTCATGGTGCAGACCTGACCCCTAGTGTGATCTCTCATCTAGGTCCTTGATCCCATACCATCCTGGGGCTGTGGAAGAGGCTTACACGTAGACAAGCACTCTAGCAACACACCCCACCCCAACCACAGCCCTCCATCAAGGCAAATGCTGTGAGAAGCCAATGGAACCAGGAAGAAAACTCACAGTTCTGGTTCCACCTCTACCCCTAAACACCAGGGTGACGTTGGAAATGACGTTTTACCTCATTGAAACTCAGGTCTCTGTTTTGAAACACAGGAACAGTAAGAACCTCTCAGTATGTGAGAACACTTTGGTATCTGATAAGCAAGGAAGCAGTGTGGTAAAGTTCCAGTAACTCAATAATCAGCACAGTCTGCACAATGAACAGCTGCTGAGCCTTGCAAAGAGCCCCAGTCCCACCGTCAGTGATTGAACTTGAGCATAACGTTCAAACAAGGTCTCTTCCAGACCCCAGCACATGCACAGACTTCCTTTGCATGGTCTTGTAATAACAGTGGTCTGGACATCCATTTCAACCAGAATTCGGCTTCTAGAATGCAGGCTTGGTTGGACTTCTTGGCTTCTGTGATGCAGCACTGGTATCATCCAGCCTTCTAGGCCTTGCCTGTAACCAGCTCCCCTGGTGTTACACCCAGTAGTCAGGCTCATGCTGGGGTTTGTAGAGACAAATTACTGTTGTCTCAGATACTGTTGTCATTTCCAAAGCATACATTTGAAAATCTCATGGCACACACAGGTATAATGCTTCTATACACAGCACCAGTTGTCAGGCATGTGGATCTGTGCCTCCCTCAGTATACATGGAAAGGCCACCAAGCATCTGGAACTTCCAGGCTTGGAATTACAGGATCGGGGACCCAAATGACTGACCACAATCTCCAAAAGTCCCTATCTGCTGCCAATGAGCTTGGATCATAGTAAGCTATGTCTAGTTATAAAGACACAAAAGTTGTATCCACTGAATATTATTTTTTTCTGTTTAATAGATAACTACAATTTCACTTGCAATGAATTTGCAAAAAATGACACCTATCATTAGCTTTAGTTCTAATTATTCTGTAATTGTGCAATTGTACAAATTATTTATTAGTTGATTTTTAAAGAATAGTTTGAGCCATGTGATTATTAATCTCATGTATATTCCTTCTTTCTATAATCAAAAGTGTAGATGTAAATCTGAATGGTTTTATTAAATAAGAAACACAGAGCCAAATGCAGAGTTAAAAACCCCAGAGGTCAGAGAGCTGAGACCAAGACGGCCTTCTTACCACCTGCTGCCGCTGCCGTCCTTCCCCCTCAGAAAGAGACCTACTTCCTGTGTGTCTGTCTTTTTATTGATTCTGTTCTGCCTTCTCATTGATTGTAAACCCAACCACATGACCTCCTCGTCACTGCCTGTCTATAAAGACCTCCAGGTCTTCTATGGTTGGTATTGAGATTAAAGGCATGTGTCTCCATGCTGGTGGTGTCCTTGAACACACAGAGATCTGCCTGTCATGTGATCAGGATTAAGGGTGTGTGCTACCACTGCCAGGCTTCTGCTATGGCTTGCTATTAGCTCTGACCTCCAGGCACTTTTATTTATTAACATACAAATAAAATCACATTTCAGCACAAATAAAATATCACCATATTTCCCCCTTTCTATTTTATTAGAAAAAAGGAAAAAAGTTAAAACTAATATAAGAAAAACTATATGCAAAAAGTAAAATAACTATATACAATATATACAAGCAATAAATACCTAATATGACTACAAGTTCGATTGTAATGTCTAACTACTAACTTTGATTTCTTTATATCTTAATAGTTGGTAATAATAGCATTCAAGGATCAGCAAATTGCATTACATTGAACGGTATAAGTACAATAACTTGAACAAGATTAGAAATATACGTATAGCATTTTCTAACAATATCAATCTCAATATATATAATTTGTATACAATATACAAAAATCCAATCCAATGTAAAGTACTTAAAACTAGTAATTGTCTTTTAAAAGTAGATTCAATAATCTATCTTTTTATCTATATCACAGCTATATCTTCTCTTTATTTTTCCAAGTAGATTCAATAATTACCCTCTATTCTATCATTTCCATATATCCTTTTTTTGAACAAGAACCATAAATCTAATCTCCTTTGCTTAGCCCTTTTCCTAACCCTTAACAACAACTTGTAACCAACCATCCTAAACGATGAAAATTATCCCAGACTCAAAACTCATTAAAAGACCAAAAAAAAAAAACCACCCACCTCACACCACCTCTTTGGGAATGTGGGTGTTATATTCTTAAAATTGCTTCCTGCTGGATATGGGCGAAGGTATCTTTATTCTGAAAAGAAAAATTTTGGGTTAATTGTCAAACTATAGGAAAGGTAGCTATATCCTTTGTTGTCCAGTCTGTGCATAATGCCAAAGTTCAGGGCTTATCTCAAGTCCTTATTCAAGTAGTCTTTGAAACTGGATCATCTCAGCTAGCCATCTCAAAATTGCTCTGAGCAGTTTGTAGTCCAAAGCTGATCTGTAGATGATGTTTGTCAGCTTAGTGGTATTATTATTGTCCATGTGGAATTGTTGTTGTTGTGGGGCCCCATCTTCTTCCTGGAGACTTCAATTGATGTTAGACCTGGCCATGATTTTCTGCAGAAAACTGATAAAGACTCAAACACAAAGACATGTATAGGCAGCTAATTGAAGCCTTTTTTTCTAGAATTAGTACTCTATATGATCATTAATATCTTAACAAAGTTTAAAATATATATATATATATAAATCTTTTAAATTTTGATATAAAATTCATACTTTAAGAAAAGTTTAAAGAATCAGGATAGAATCAAAGAATTGAGATTAGTAGTAATAGAATAGTCCCTTAATTAATTTGGTTTTTCTCCTGTCCCATATCAGAAGATGGCTCTTTCTTCTGGCATGATACAGGGAGTTTGCATTTTCCTTTTAACAACATGCTTGAGTTTAAAGAAGGAAAGAGCCATTCTCCAAATCCAAAGCCAGCTTTAAATTTTAATTGGACTGGGACTACAAGAAGACCAATAGTGATAAATTTCTTTAGAGAAGAGCAGAAACAAACATTTAGAAAGACTTATGAAGTTTTATAGATTATATACCAATCATTACCATTGGTAATCGAATGATATACCATTCATTATCATTACTTTAAATGCCAGGAATAACCCAGGCATGATTTAGGGTTCATCAGTTTACAATGTAATCCCACATTTATTGTGTATATGTATATACTGACTAGTTTTTGTCAACTTGATGTAAACTGGAGTCACATGGGGAAAGGAACAGAAATTGAGGAATTGAGGTCCATCAAATTGACCTCTAGGCAAGTCTGTGCAGGGATTTTCTTGATGAAAAATTGATGTGGGAGGACACTGCCTACTGTGGGCAATGCCACCCTTGTGCAAGCGGTCCTATTTTGTATAAGAAAGCAGGCTAAGCAATCCATGAGGGCAAGGTAATAGACAACATTGTCCATCCATGGTCTTTCACTCAGTTCCTGCCTTCAGGTTCCTGCCTTGAGCTCCTGTCCTGACTTCCCTTCATGATGGACTGTAATTTGTAATCTTAAATAAACCCTTTTCACTTTGAGTTGCTTTCAAGAAAACCAAGCTTAGAGAGTGTGTTTTTAAAGATGAATTCTGGAGTTCAAACTCCACATGCTTGCATGGCAAAATCTTTCCTGGTTACACTATCTGCACAGCCCCTTGATGGATATTGTAACCTGACCATAACCAGCTGGTATAAGCAAAGGTCATGGTATTTACAGGTAAATAAATTGAGACTTATTAGACCATATAGACAGTCACATGTTGGAGCAGTGTCTCTGTCCCTGAGGATAAGAACAATGCCTATGTTTCTCATTTTGCCAGTACCAGCCTGGTGAAGGTGGTCTACAAAGAATGACTGTGCAAATTTAGAAAATGTCCAGTGGCTTTCAGAATGACCTCAAAAGTTCTACAAAAAGACAAGAAAGCAAGAGGAATTCTAGTTGGGAAGAAGGTGGCTAGCAGGAATTGGGGGCAAAGAACAGGTAACAAGGTAGAGGTAAATATGATCATAATACAGTGGATATATGTACTAAATTGTCAAAAATAATTATTTTTAAAGTTCTCAATATTCAGCACCTTACCCTATTCTCATCAAATAAGAACTGTGTTTCCAAGCCCATAGCATAACCCTCTACTTAGTTTCTGCACACCCTTGGTGCTCCTTTGTTGCTCAGGACTGTCATCAGCCATTACCTTTAATCCTGGATACTTCTGGGAGGGATCAGTGTTTGGTTAATGGAGGAGGAAACAGTCAAATACTAACCATCCCTACTAGAGAACAATACCATCAGGTTTATAGAATCCAAACCTGCACAATCCAGTCCACCCTGATGCAGATCTGCCTCAGAGATTACCCCAGCTTGGTCCTGGAATACACTAAGTGTTCTACTCTATCCCCATGAACACAGGGGTAGCTCTAGTGGAGTGGAAATCTGGCTACCCGCATGGTTTGGGTTGGGTTATGTATCACCCAATCTTCATGTATCAGTGACTCTTTCCTGAAAAAACAAAAACAAACAAACAAACAAACAAAAAACATGGACAGGGCTTCCTTTGGAAGTTGTCACGTTTACTCCAGAACTGCTTTGTGCTTTGTTCTCTAAAAGGGGCATACTCTGGAAAGAAAGCTGACAGACAATTAATGATAGTGACAGTACAGTAAAACAAAAGCTGTAAATATTCCCCAGCAAGAGTGCTGTGAGCAGGCTACCGAGCATAGGAACACTCTCATCTGGTTGGGACAATCTGGAAACATACGAAAGAGGAGGCAGTGCCATTTACAGGGGAAGGTCTCTGTGTGTAGATGATAGAAAGGAAGCATTAGTACAGAAAGGCTCACAGGAAGTCAAGTGTGATGGGAAGTGACAGGTCCATACTTTTGACTAGAGACTACGATAAGAGCAAGAACACAGTGGGAAATATATCTGTTCCCATTTCCTGTGAGTCAACAAACCTTCTGTACCATCAGGACACTGGAGTTCTGAGAAGGACTCTGATGAAGCAGGAAAAGGAAAATCCCCCTTATCCCCAATACCTCTTGCCATGAATCTTCTTCTTTTTTCAATGGGAAAGAGCTTAGGAATTTCTAGTTTGTTTCCTCTATGAAGATTGAGAAATTGAGAGTCCTGGAAATGGCAGATTACAGCTTTTCTGGACAAACTAAGGATGCTGAAGACACTATCTATACGCACTGCCTGGATCATAACTGAGAAACAACAGGACCAGAACCATCTGTCAGTCAAGGATTAGACTCGGGAGTGACATATCCTAAGTCACCAGACTCTTGTCAGCAGGGTTATCAGGCATCTACCTAACCCTGTCTGGCATTTCCAGGGCTGACTCGGAGCTACTTACTGGGTTTCCAGGGTGTTCTTTGCAGGGCGCTTTGGGGAGATAAGGATTGGAGAGAGGACAATGGAGGCTCAGAACTGTCGACTGTTATATTTTTTGTTTGTTTCCCTCCCAAGAACCACGTCTCTGTCACCCTTCTTTTAATTAGGATATGTTGGCAACAAATACCATCAAATTCTCTTCATACAGCTGCTTCTGGAAACAGCTCTCTAGTCTGCAGAAATGTTTAACTCTTTTTCCAAAGTGAAGAAAAAAAAATTATGGAATGCGTTGGTCTTTTGACATAAAACAACTTTTGCTCCAAGGGGAACAGTTTATTCTTTAAAAAATGAGGGACCATGACCTGACAGCACCGATTCAGGGTGTCTCGGGTAACATGGTCCATCCTGGAAGTTACACGAACCTTTTACAGACTCGGAACAAAAGATAGTTACAAATCACACTTGCTGGACATACTGATGGGACATCATGCAGCTGGGTGACAGCCAGACCAGGAAATCTCTGCTAGAAGTCTCAGATGTGCTCTGGTGACATCCTCATCTCCTGAATTGGTACAAGCTAGACAGGTCAAGCTTAGCAATGCATTCCAAGTTTAATCTGCAAGTCAAGTTGGTGTGAATTCAGACACACGGGTGGAGGATAAATGGCTATTAAAAGTATTAAGGATAGCCGGAGGTCATTTTGGCTCTCACTGTAATATTCTAACTCCACAATCATGGAGTTAATAATCCGTCAGTCTTCTGAATATCTTCAAAATGTGAGTGTTTTTAGGCAAATTTGATTAACATTGTCTGCTACTTTGGGGGTACAGCATAAGTAGCCACCCTCTAGCTACCCCACACTTCACCATTGTGTGTTTCTTAGTGTGTGTAAGATCTGATGAGCAGGCTTTCAGTAAAGGATGGATTTGTGGCTGCTGCTATGATGATAGAAATTGAGGCCATTCAAGAATCTTCTTTGCGAGAAGTCACCTGCCACTCACCCCTTGAAATGCCCTGGTGTCTCTCCCACTAACCAATGGTGATCTGACAGGTGACGCATATGACACCACGTCAGAAGAGACACTTAACAAATGATATTGAGTCCGCCGAGCTGTGTACAATGGCCTCTAGTGTGTACGTGTGCATGCGAGCACGCAAGTGTGGGAGCATGCACAGATACAGTTGACAGTTACATTCCTCTTGTGGCCCAGAAACGGTGACCATGAAATAGGGCAGGAGAGAACCCAAAGGAGGGTATCACTACTGTGAAAGCTCAGCTGCTCTCCCAGACTGAATTATTGATACTTTCACTTTAGATATTGCCATGAAGTGTGGAGGAAAGGGGTTTGTACAAGTCAGTATGAGGAAAGATTCTTTCCTCTGGCCTTGCCTCTCATATCCACAGGGCCACTGGGTTCCTTCTGTCCAGTGGAAAAAGACCATGCATGATCATGTTAAGCCTTTTCTCTCACCAGCTGTAAAATGCTACCTATTCAGAGCAGAAAATTGGGGTTATTTTGTTTGAATAAAAATTGAAACCATCAGGGACATCACAAGAAAACCTAAAGCATCAATTAACCTGGGTTCATAGGCTCTCACAGATTCTGAACAGACTACTAGGGAGCCTGCATGGGACTGACCTAGGACCTCTGCGTATATGTGACAATTGTGTAGCTTGGGTCTTCTTGTGGGATGCCCAGTAGTGGGAGTAGGATCTGTCTCTGACTCTTACTGGCTTTTGGGACCCTACTTCTGATACTGGTCACCTTGCCCATCCTTAATACATGGGGAGGTACTTAGTTTTACTGCAGCTTGATATGCCATGTTTTGTTGATATCTATAGGGGGCCTGCTCTTTTCTGAATAGAAACGGAGGAGGAGTGGATGGTGGGGACGCCCCCCCCCCCCGCAAAGGGGAGATGGGGGAGGGGCTAGGAGGAGAGGAGGGAGGAGAAACTGTGGTCCAGATGTAAAATAAATTTAAAAAATTGAAACCACATCTGGTCGGGGCGGGGGGGGGGGCGTGAGGATAGCTCAGTCTGTAAAATATTTAAATTAAAAGCGCAGGACCTGAGTTTAACCCCAGAATCCAGAATAAGAAACCTTAAGTATGGTGGTGTGTATTTGCAATCTCAACACCAGGGCAGTGGAGACAGGCAGATTCCTGGAGCTCACTGGCCAGCCAGCCAGCCCAAATGGGCAATCTCCAGGTCAGTGGTAGACTGCCTCAGAAAAAGAAAATGGAGTGTGGAAGGTACCTGAGGAACAACATCTGAGGTTTACCTCTAGCTTCCATGCCTGTGTACATACAGATGTGCACATACACACAGGCACACACTGATACCTTTTAGGGGCTCATAAACTAGACAATTCCAAAATAAGAACTTAGAATATGTCTAAGTAACAGCAGCAGTTACTTAGTCAGAAAGGGGAAAAAACACTTTGAAAAGAATAATCTTCAATAAACAGATATGTTCTTGAATGCTTGAATAAAAGAAACAAGACTTCTACGGCTTTGCAGGCTCCTGGAGAGGAGGATTCCCCAGGATCTCAGGCCTGTATAAAGCACTGCTGAACTCAACTCATTGTAAAGGGGGCCTCCTAGTCCTAAGAAGATAGACACAGCAAGAGACAAGATAGACACAGCAAGAGACAGTTTCAGCCATGGTAGAAAGGGCCTGTAATTAAAGGGAAGCTGCCTTGGGTCAGAAGGTGAGCTGGAGAAAAAAGGAGGTGGGGCTGGGCTGGGCTGAGCTTTGGATGAATCAAGCCTTCTTGTAGGGTGGAGACATCCTGTCTAAAATACATACGAGTGCCATTAAATCCTCTATAAAAGGTTCTCATCCCACTGACAAGTACGCTACACACTGCTTAACAGAAACTTGTCCCATCCTGTCCCATCCTGCCTGGGCATTAGGTAAGTTCCCTCCAGAGTAACTTCTTGCTCATTCTCAGTGTCTTGGCAAGCTGAGCTCATGAATCCAGGGCTGTCAGATGTGAGCTGTCAGGACTCAGTGCCTAGCTGGAGGTAGGAAGGGTTCCCACAGAGTCTCAGGCAGGCTGCAGCCAAAGCTCTTGGGAAACGCTCTTCTTCTGAGACAATCCAGCTTTCTCCTCTCCCTGGCTCTAGCCTGCAGCTCTTCTCACTGGATGGTGTGGGAAGCAGCAATGGGGCCACCCACCACCCACGCACCTTCCTGGATCAGCATAACTTTTCCCCCTAAGGTTCTGGAAGGTTCTTTGCAGTGCTCAGAGCCTGTGGAAACACAATCAGTTTGTCTTGCGTCATAAGCTTCTTGTCTTATGGAGGAAGGGACTAATATGAACTTCCTTCCTGACTCTAAGTTTATATATACGCAAGATGAATTTGTAGATTTAGTCTAAGAATCTGAATCGTCACTAAAAGGACATTTTCTTCTTTTAGCTACTTATGGGTCAGTGATGAAAGAGTGTCATGTGTTTAAAAACACAGGGGTGGGAGGTTTCCATCTGTGTTAAGGGAGATATTTGAAGTTATATGCCCTAAGGCACACAGAGGGAAGAGTCTAAGTCACAGCCCACCTGGGGTCTAGACCTCTTCAATCCTCCAGCCACACTGACTTGCTTTTTCTTGAACCATGTCACCTTCTTTCCCTCACTCCTTGCTTCTCTACCTATGCCATCCTCTCCCCCACAATCCTCCTTTTCATCTCCAAGGTCCCTTCCCTGGTTTTCCAGAGGCTGCAAGCCTCCATCACCCTTTGTACTGGAACCTTATCATCATTGGCACCTCTCCTTCAGGTCTCCCCAAGTCTTCTGTTGAACACATCTATGCCTCTTGCCCACTCAGTCACACACGTCTTCACCTTCGCCTGCTTAATGGAAATGAACATTTTCTCCTTTGACTGGGAACCATCCATCACAGGACACAGCCCTTTAGACTAGATGGACCACGTATCTCTTACCGAAGCTTACCTCTCTGACAGGTTCCAGGACTGAGGGCAGAGAGCATAAGCAGAGCATCTCGGCACCAGGAAGGCACCCCTAACCCTAGTATCCCCAACAGGTGCATCCCACCTTCTTCAAGAATACCTTCTCCAGGGAAGATGAGAGGGTAGGGCTGGAACCTTGGAGCTTCTGGAGAGCTTCAAGCCAAAAGATGGGCTAACCTCTGTGTGTACTTACTGCCTTCTGATATTTCCAGTAGGACATTATCATCCTAGAGATAGGCAAAAAAATCTGTCCAAAGGTATATTCTAAAGAACTAATTGCATATGGGTTAAAAGAAAATAATGTGTGGCCTTCACAAATCCACCTCCTCTGAGCCCTTTCCCTCACCTATGAAAATACTAGTGATAATAAGGGTCATAAGCTATGTTATACAGGAAAGTGCTTTGTGAGCAGTACAGTGTCTATAGATGTACACAAATTATATACATGTATGTGTATATAATAATAATGATGATGATACTTAATAGCTACCACTTAGCATAAACCAGGCATCAGCAGGGTGCCTTTTATGGATTATCTTCTAAGTCTTTATGACAACTCTCTGAAGTAAGTGCTAAGTGTCAGCTTCATTCACAGTGAATAAACTGAGGCTCAGAAACGCGAAGCATCTTGGACCAGCTCACATCAGGTAGGTGGTGAAGCCTGCCATTTAAATGATAACTTAGAAACTTCCTTCCAAGTTCTGGGGGTTTCTCCTTCCCACCATCAAGTGCATTTTGAGGAAAGGATGAAAGAAGGTAGAGAGACCCAAAATATAGCTGAAGACACAGTGAAAGGGCTAAGTCACAGAGTATTGTAAGGAGAGAGCAGGGGCTGACTATGGTGCCCATGAAGGGACTTTTCATATCTTCCAGCTTAGCTTCGCAGATGCCTCAGCTGCTGCAAAACATTCACGGGATCATCGAAGCCTTCGGCCGTTATGCCAGCTCAGAGGGTGGCTGCAAAGTGCTCACGCGGGGGGAGCTCAAGAGGCTCCTGGAACAGGAGTTTGCTGACGTCATAGTGGTATGCTCTGTGGGGATGAGAGGGAGAAACTTGACAAGGACAGCCAAAGTGTGTTTTCCTGCAAGGGCTCTTACCTGGGGAATGTAAAGAGCAAGGAGCCAAAGTCAAGCCTGCTAGCTCTGTTGGCAGATGTGCAGGCAGACACGAAAGACATGGAGGGAAAGAGGTCACTGCAGGCGGCACATCCTGATCCTCAGAGAAAGGGCAGATCCTTGGGTCTTATTCTCTCTTTAAATTAATTTCAAGACAAGGTAAAGAGACTCCAAGGAGACAGACAGTTCAGGCAAGAATGGACACTTCAAATGGTCTAGCAGGGCTGGCGCTTCTCAAATCTGACACAATAGCATTTCCTACACCGCTCTGAAAATTGATTGCTTATTAGCATCCATAAAGAGCCTGTTCCCACCTTGCACAAATCAGTTGCTTAGAAATATTAGCTCACTAGTCAGGTCAAAAGTGAGATTTTGAAGCACTAGTTCTGAACAGCCGTGGGTGCAGGGGACTCCGAGAGACCAACCCCACCCAGGAAACCAAAGCCAGAGCCCTAATGCACTTTTCTGCCTTTGGTTAACATCTACAGAAGACTGAATAATGAAGTTCTTAGGTACAAAGACTGGCACACTAGGATGGTGCTAGGTGCTTAGAGCAGCCTGTTGTCCTGCCATGCTTCTGGTGGGGTTGCTGCCAGGGGCAAAGTACTAAGGGCACCCACATGAAGGAGCCAGGAGCCTAGACAGTTGCATACAAGCACATGCGTTCTGTCTTCAACACATCTTTACCTAGTCCATCATCCTGCAGATCTGAAACCGAGGATATATAAAACCAAAGGTGCTGCCTACCCTTGAATAAGAGAGATGCTACGACAAGACACAAACAACAAAACATTACACTATGATGCTGTGGGCAGTGCTGTGGGTCTGAGAGCTCCCAGTCTGCCATGGGGTGAGGGAGCCCAGAAGCCAGATTCTCCTTAGAGAGCAGTGCTGACTAGGTCTCATCTCTCCCTCAGAATCCCCATGATCCCTCGACTGTGGATGAAATCCTGCGCCTGCTGGATGAAGACAACACAGGGACTGTGGAGTTCAAGGAATTCCTGGTCCTAGTCTTTAAAGTTGCTCGAGCCTGCTTTAAGACACTGAGCGAGATTCCTAAGGGTGCTGGCATGTCTGACAAGTCTGAACGCTGCTATCCTGGATCCTCCAAAGAGCTGGAGCAAGGCCAGATAGGCGGCACTGGAGTTGGGAGGGATGCAGCAGAGCAGTGCTGTGAGGACAGCAGCTGTGGGCAGAGGGATCAGGCATCTAAAGAACAGGTCAGGGTCGGGACACACACCCAGAGTCAGGAGAGCTACCCTACACAGGTCAGCAGTCATGACAGGGAGGTTGAGTCTCAGAGACAGAAGATGGTAAGCCAGCAAACACAAGTGACAGGACAAGTGGAGCAGACCCCGAGAACTGAGGACAAGAGTTGGACCAGAGAGAGGAGGTCAGAGAGGCAGTCACAGATTAGCCAACAGACAGAGGAGACCACAGCTGGAGCCACAACTCAGATCCAAGCAGGTGCTTTCCAGACACAGGGGTCCACCTGCGGCCAGAACAGAGGGACTAACAGCCATAGCCAAGACAGGAGCCAGGCAGGCCAAGCTGCTACACAACATGACCAGACACAGGCAGGGTCTCATACTCAGACACACACCCAGATGGTAGAACAGGGTTGGAGGCAGCAGACAGGAAGTGGCAGCATCCAGACACAGGAATCCATCTATGACCAGAACAGAGAGACTGAGACTCACAGCCAAGATAGGAACCAGGCAGGCCAGGCTGCTAAAGAACACCACCAGACACAGGCAGAGTCATACACTCAGACACACACCCAGACGATGGAACAAGGCAGAAGTCAGCAGGCAGGAAATAGTAGCATCCAGACACATGGGTCCATCTATGACCAAAATAGAAGGACTGAGATCCATGGGCAAGACAGTAGTCGTTCAGGACAGGTAGGGACAGGACACTTCCAGACACAGGTAGGATCATATTCTCAGACCTTGGAGCATGATAGGAGCCAGTCTGCAAGTCAGATAGGGGCTCCAGAAAAGAGACAAACCCAGATAGCGTCAGGTATGGGGCAAGGCTGGACACCAGTAAGCCACTGTGAGACAGGAGAGCCAGTACTAGGAGGCCAGGTCCAGACTGAGACAAGTACTGTAGAAGAAAGACAAGACTGTAGCAGCAATCACCCAAGTCCAAAGGGAGGGCAGAGAGAGAGTGTTCCCACCGTGATTAGAGATGAGTGGGTCAATGACCACACAAGGGAAATAGTGATCCGAAGCCAGAATCCAGGTAGCCCGCACTCTCCTGTTCCTTCAGCCCAGGGCCAGGATACAGCACAGATGGAGGAGAAGAAAGGAATCCCAGCCAAGGGACAATATTCCTACTTGAAGACAGACCAGCCATGACTTTTCCTGACTCCAGTGTCCAATACCAAAAGACAGCTGGAGTGAGGTTAGCCTACCCTGCCCTGCCCTGGAACATTGATGGAAAGCCATGATGCTTCTCAATTGCTTCTTTCTCAGCGATCATTTCTACAAGGTGCCTTCTTGTCTAAACTCACATCTCTTGCCTGTTTTGCTGTGCAGACACTCTCAGAAACAGGAAGACATGGAAGAGGTCCTCTCTTTACACTGAGTTCCCCTTAGCTTGCAGGGGTTTTCAGAGCTGTTTTATCTCTGCTATCTGTCCACCCAAACAAATCAATAAAAGCTTAAGCTCTGACCTCCATGTTCTATTCAATAATTTCTACTGATGTGACCAACTGTGGGCTCTAGAGTTCTGATGTTGACTTGAACACAGTCTCATCACTCAAAGAGCACTGAGTTGAGAAAATGTGATCCTGAGAGTTAGAAATAGCTGAATAGAGGAGAGAGCACATTTTGTACTTGGCAGAGATGAGTCAGGGATTGCCTTCTTCCACAAGATGCTTTCTGTGACACCCCTCAAAGGACCACTAAGATATATACATGGGTAAAATTACTGTCATTCATTTCCTCTAATTCTAGAATGTTAAGACTCTATTTCCACACAAGGTCACAGAGGACAGTGCCTTGAGGTTACTAATAAATACAGGAAGACTCTCAGGGACTGTGCTGGGAAGGAAAGAAGACATGCATTACCAGGGGCTTAGCCAGGAGTGAGAGGCCCTGAGTTTCACCCCCCACCTCTGTGTCAACATTAATCCTTCCTATTGCCTCACTCAGTGGGTATCAACAAGACATAGGGCAGAAACTCTCAGCTCTTCTTTACTTTGAGAATCACCAAGAAGGCAGGGTTTTTTGTTTTGTTTTTATCGGTATGTGTATGTACCTGAGTATATGCATATGCATCATACAAGAGCCTTCAGAGGTCAGAGTAGGCATTAGATCTCCCAGAAACTACATGCAGTTGTGAGCTGCCATTGGGGTGCTGGGAATCTAACCTGGTCTTCTGCAAGAGCAGTAAGCGATCCTAACCACTGAACCATCTGTCTAGCCCAGGAAGGTAAGAGTTTCACTCTTGGGATAAGCTTGTGACTGATGTTTATAAACTTAGTGGGTGGATACTTGTAGTACAGAATGGAGAGTCTAAAAGATCTCCCATACCAAGTATGAAGAAAGCCTATTTTTTCACTGCATTGCTGGTTTGTGAAAATTTCTAAGAATAAAACAAAAATCTAGTAGACTGAATACCTCCATACCTCCAAAGATGTACCTCTGCCAATTCCAGAAACCTGTGAATATATCTCCTTATACCTTCAAAGGGGCTTTGCAGGACACTGAGGTAGGGGCTGATTCTTGCCTATCTGGGTGAGCTCAATATAAACACAAAGGTCCTTATAAGTGTGAAACAAGGGGGTCAAAGGTTAGTGAGAGATATGGTGGAACCAACAGCTAGAGCTTTGGTCAAGGGGTAAGGGATGTAAGTAAACTCTCAAAGTTAGAAAAGGAATTCCCCTATTCCCCCTCAGAAGGAATGCAGGCCTTCTAGCACCTTCACTGTAGACTTCTGGTCTCCAGGACTGTAGGAATAAAAGTTCTGTAGTTTTAAGTTGTAAAGTTTATGTTTATTTGTGACAGTAGAAATAAAAAATGAACATGAAGCAAAAAAACCCTCACCGAGGCCAAGTGTAAGTATGTGGGGAAGGCAGGGCTGGTCTTTGTGAGGATAAATTAATTTCCTATCCACCCACACAGGACTTTGAGTATAAAGGCTGAAGATAGATAGAAAGGAACTTGAAGGACCCAGGGAATGTCACTGCCATGAGTTCTTCCTCTAGAATGAACACAGGCACAAAGCCGAAATTGCAGAAACATTTGGCATACAATCTGATAAAGCATGTTTAAATACATCTAAGTGCAGAACTAAGACAAAAGGATGTGGACGAGGTGACAGAACAGCATTTAATGTTATGTGCTCTGAACACATAAATATAACCAGCTAACAAAAAGAGAAAGTCTATGGAAAGCAGAGTTGGGGAGCTGGTTGTCTCATGTAAGTACACACTTACAAGGGAAAACAAGGAGTAAAAAAAATTCACTTCAAATTAGACAGTGAGGAGGGGAAAAGGAGGAGTATATGAAAATAATTATGAAGTTCTAGAAAACCCTATTATTTATGTTAGAGAATGAATGAATAGACAATAGGTAAGGGGGGATAGGGAATATGCAATACGTAATGATACACTGCAACAATGATGATAGAACAAATGGGTGAACATTGTGCAACACCAAAAAAAAAAAACAGTTCAGAAATAAGGTAAATAAAACAGAAACACAGAGAACAATGTAACTTATGCATACCACATGTTTCTATAAGCATGAAACAAAATAATATGAAAGGAAAAGTGTCTGATACAATTTATAATGATGTAAAGGGCTTGTCTTGCTATTGAAAGAACAATTTTTATATTAGATTTATCTGATAAAAGAAACAAAGAGAGAACAAGAGTTAGAGGGAGGAAGGGACTTATAAAATAATCTTTTAAATGGGTGAGTTAATAATTATCATGGAAATAAAGATTCAAATAAAATTTTAAAAGCAGGGGTCAAGATCTTGATCTCAGATTAGGCCATAAAACAAGAAGGGCCAAGAAGAGCACTCTGGCCCCATTTCCATGATGCCTCCTAGACAGAGGTGTATCAAAATGAAGCTGAATATCTCCTTCCCAGACACTGGATGTCAGAAACTCACTGAAGTGGGTGATAAATGCAAACTTCAAAATTTCTAAAAAAAGTGTATGTTCACAGAAGTAGCTGCTGATGCTCCGGGTGATGAGTGGAAGGGTTATGTGGTCCAAATCAGTGATGAAAATGACAAGCAAGATCTTCCCATGAAGTAAGATGTGTTGACCCACAGCAGAGTGCTCCTGCTGTTGAGTAAGGGACATTCTTTTTATAGACCAAGAAGAACCAGAGAGAAGAAACTAAATTTGTTTGGGGATGCATTGTGGATGCCAATCTGAGCAAAGAGGGAGAATATTCCTGGCCTGACAGAATCCACTGTCCCTCTGTTATTGGGACCCAAAAGAGCTAGCAGAATCCATAAACTTTTCTAATCTCTCTAAAAAAGATAATGACCACCTATATGTTGTCCAAAAACCCTTAAACAAAGAAGGTAAGGAGCCCCAAGCACTCCCAATTCAACATCTTGTGAATCCACATGTCCTGCAACATAAATGCCAATGTACTGGTCTGAAGAAACAACACACTAAGAAAAATAAAAAGGAGGCAGCAGTATATGCCTTTTTTTGGCCAAGAGAATTAAGGACACCAAAGAAAAATGCCAGGAACAGATTTCCAAGTGATGTCAGCTGTCCTCACTGAGTGCTTCTACTTCTGCATCCAGTCAAAACATAAGAATTGTTTGGAGTGACAAATATATGACCAGACCTTGAAAACAAGAGGACACTTTAAAATGCCAAACAAAGATACACTTTTTAGTATCTGTGCATTTGATAATAGCCAACTCTAATAAAGTAGAGACTTTGGGAGACAGGAGGGAAAAATGAAAGAAAGCAAAGTTGTAAGTATAAAGCCCTCAACGGCCTCAGTTCAACACAGTAAATGCACAGAAAGAACAGCCGAACCCATATGGTACACATGTATTTATTTTAAGTGTGTGTGTGTGTGTGTGTGTGTGTGTCTGTGCCACATGTATGCAGGAGCTGGAGTTATAGGTGGTTGTGGGCCACCCAACATAGGTGCTGGGAACAGAAATTGGGTCCTACAGAAAAATTGAAACCATCCTTAAATCCTGACCCTCTCCATCCCTCAGTATGGTTTTTGTATGAAGAACTTTCTGTGAATGTGTGAATGAATGTGTATGCATATGTTTGTGTGCATGCATGCATTTATGTTCTTGTAGAGGCCAGACCAATATAAGGTGCCTTCCTCAATTGCTTTTCACAGTATTTTTTTGAAACAGAGACTCTCACTGAACCCGGAGCTCTCAGATTCACATAGACTAGCCAGCAGCGAGCTTCAGGCCTTTCCATTGCTGGAACTGCAGATGCTTGCCACAGTACCTGGCCTTTAAAAAAAAAAAATCAGTGTTGAGGATCTGAATCAGGTCCTCATGTTTGCATGGCAAGTTCCTCAATGACTAAGCTATCTCCCCAGGCCCTGTATAATTAACTATTTTTTAAGTCAGTTTTAATATGGACCAAATTATTTCATAACCTAGCAATAAAAAAATACACGTGGAATAGTCAACAGCAGGCCACAAAAAAATTCTCACCAACGTGACTGCCTAAACAAGGGTGACACCAGCAGACAAGCCAAAGCGAATGGGGAAAGCCGGTGAAGTCTCAGCACTGCGCACGCAACTAAGGGCTAAGGAGTGCTGAGAGCAGGAGAGACAGGCTTCCCCAGGGAAGGGCATCAGTCGGTTATGTAGTACCACATGCTCCGCCCTGAAAACGTACATACAAGAAAGGGTATACAGACTGAGCAGGTTGTACTTAGGATTGTCTAAGTATATGATATATACGTAGATGTATATACACATATGCATGTAACATCAATTAATGGAAAAAGAGGCCATGAATTTGAAAGAGAGCAAGGAGGGGTATGTAGGAGTCAGTGGGCACCAGGTTCGGAGAGGAGAACCATCTCAAAAAACTCAGGTGTACCACAACAGAAAAAGATACTTGATGTCCACCTCTAGCGTCCACAAATGCATAAGTCCATGAACATGTACATATTCTACACATACACAGCAAAAAACTTTTGCATACTTATAGAAAAGCAGTCATCTATTTCTGTTCCACACGTGTGTGTGTGTGTGTGTGTGTGTGTGTGTGTGTGTGTGTGTGTGTGTGTGTGTGTGTGTGTGTATGCTGTAATGCTTATAAGCTCCTGTTGCATTGGTCAGAGTATGGAAAGTGGCCCTGTCTCAAACTGAGGCCTTCCAAAGTCCAGCAAGCCAGGTAGCTTCCCAGGGCTAGCTAAAGAGGGAAGACATATTGTACTGCCGCCCCCTAGTGGCACTTAGGAATAGCGGCGCTAAAATCTTCCGGAAGGGAAATTGTTTTTTCTGGAGTGGGACACAGGAGAAGCGCAGTGGCAGTCTTTAACTGCAACACCACAGGGAATGACCTGGAAGCTTCAGGCGCGCTCTACTCCCAGTTTCTCTGAGCAATGGGGTTTCTGTTGTGTTTCTCTGTTGAGGAGTGACCTTCATACAGCCACTCCCACCACCAAATGGTTCTGTGTCTGTAGAGCCACATCACCTGCAAGGACCTTGGTACCACTGTGTAGGTATTGTGGCGCAGATGACTGATTTTCTCACCGGGGGATCATGTGCTTAGTGACATTCCTTTGGTGAGTAGGAAGGCAAGCATCCTATGGATTTCCTTCCACAAGGTGGAAAACGTGATCTGTATGTTTTTCTCAGAGGTCTTGAGATCCAAGCTCTATCCTGTTCTTGTCCTGGGTGTTTACAGGAACACGGTGGATTTGTTTCTTAGCACTGATGTAGACCACACAGTGTTGTGTGACACTCTTTAGTGTCCCCTGTTTATATATGAGCAGCAAGTAATGAATGCCAGCTCCTTATGCTAGAAGCTGCATAAAGTGAGCAGTGTTGGGGCTGGAGAGGGAACACCCTCTACCTTCATATTTCCAACTAAGAGGAGGAGAGAAACTAAGGCATCCACATGACTTTTCTCTAGTGCCTGCATAAGTGCTCAGGGGCTTATAGATCCCCAAGGCCCAGTTCTTACTGGGGGGCTGTGGGTTAGGCTATGGAACACGCTAGAACAGAGGAGACTGTATTCCCAAGGCAGCACCATTCCTTGCCCATCATGACTTCTGTCACCACAAGCCTTCTTCTCGTGGCACAGATCATCTCTCCAGGAGAAGAGATAGAGCATGGAATGGAGAGAAGAAATGGCAACACATGTCATTAGCAGTCTCTGCCCATGTGTCTGGGAAAGAAAAGTACACTATTTAGGTAACCCAAGCAGCCAGATGCTGTATTAGATGCAGGGATTTGCTTGAGATTTATGTCATCTTGTATGGAGTAGGCAGGAACTCAGTCAGTGCATGATTTTAAATGCCCTAAACAATGAGACACAAACTTAGTTACAAATATATATATATATATATATATATATATATATATATATATATATATATATCAGGAAAACCACAAAAGACCCAAGAAATAAAGAAATACAAAAAATTAACTATTACACAGAAATAGTCATTTTTATTTAACCCTTCCAGACTATTCTCCTCTATATAAATTACCATAAAAATATCTCTATGAAAATGTATCTCTGTATGTGCAAATACATATGTACAAATACCTACAAATTATACATTTATGTGTCAACTATATACATTATATCTGCATGCAAATGAAAGGTCACACGTCAGTTAAGTGCTTTCCAAGAGATGAGCTTCTGATCAATGCATTTGGTCTTAATAGCTTTGTCTCTATTGTGGAGAAAATAATGATACTTCTTCATGGGTAGGTGTGAGAATAAATAAATTCATACACTTAATTCCTAGCAAATGACATGGTAAGCCCTCAACAAATGTGAAGAATTGGATGAAGCATTCAGGCCAGCCATTTACAAAGCGAAGAATGAGTTAAGAAGGAGTGGGTCTAATCAGAAAGACTTTGACCAGCACAGAAGATCCTCACAGACTATAATTCCTTCCCATAAAAATAGTTTTGGCTTTTAGCAGCTGCAATGACCATGGATAATTGGAGGATTTTCAACTCAAAGAAAACCCAACAATTAGGGACAAATCGGTACTATTCTAAATGCACAGGTACACCACCAATCCTCCCAGGCCACGGTTCGGTCCACTGGGACAGAAGCAAGTTGTCACTGCTCCGTCTTTCTCCCTCTCAAGATCAATAAGCTGTCAAACAAGAAGCTAGGCAGTGGCTGCAGCTGGCTTACTTTTCCATAGGACTCAGGGAGAAGGTTGGAGGGTGTGGGTAGCTGGAGAGGCCAGTCAATCATTTGCACTGGCAGCATCTGACTTACTAATAATTAACAAAGTAGAACAAGCTAGGCCATATAGACAAGAAAATTGGCTTTTCTCTGTTTGCTTCATAATACATTTCATCACTTAAGTCTTGTTTTTTTTCTTCTAAGGTAATTTCAGCACACACAGAAGAGAATTCCCACACATAAGCTGTTATTGATCCAATTTCTTGATTTTGACCCCAAATATAAATACAAATAAAAATGCTGCTACTCACTGGTTTGTATGTGACTATGAACTCTCTCTCTCTCTCTCTCTCTCTCTCTCTCTCTCTCTCTCTCTCTCTCTCTCTCTCTCTCACACACACACACACACACACACACACACACACACACACACACACACACGCTCGTGACACTGTGTTTATTATAACATGAACCAGGTCTACTCTTATGTCAAGGAGCTTGCATGTAACTAATGGACACAATAAGAAGCACCTTTAGGTAACCATGCCCTCTGCCTGTGGACCCCCTAGACTAACCCTGGCTTGATAAAAATTCCCAGTGGCTACAGAATAGTTCACCATTGATCCTACACTTTGGGCCACCTCCCCTGAGGCAGAGAGACCTGTTGCTAATGGGACTCTGCTCACCACAGCAATGAACTTCCCTCCCGAAACACCTGTCAATTCACCAGGGACCTTTTTCCATTGCCTGTCACTCACAACAAACACATAGCTGCCCTTATAAACCACACAACTAAAATCTACCTATTTTCCATGACACACCAGCCAGGAACTCACTGCTCCACTTACCATCTATTATTTCATGATAAGATCAGTAGCCATACCTACTGTTGAAGTATTTGTTTGTCTTATGAATGGGTGTCATAAAATGCAATTACACCATCTTATCCATAGTCATTGAAAAATTAAGTCACACCTTCACATACATAGGGTATTAGTTATTCCAAAATTAACAACAGTGCAAGAATCTAAAGCAAACCACAGATTCATGCTTTTTCCACCCATGACCTACTCTTTCTCACTTGACTGGTTCTGGTTACCTCCTCCTCTGGGTTTTCCTATCAGATTTCTCTGTTGGTTTTTCCTACTCTATGCCCTTATGCACGTACTTCATCAAGGTAGATGTGAAGGCTAGTGGCGGCTCAGCTGGGATTTGTGGCATCTGTTGAAATCAGTCAGTGTATCTAGTTCAGTGGCATGCCACAGACGCTAAGCCCACACTTCTTCACAGGGGAATTTGATTGTCCCCCAGATGAAGGCACATTTTGTTATCCCACACAGCATGGCAACCTTTACCTCTCCCCAAATCCAGGGACTAATAATAAAATTCAGTTCTGACTTTGGAAAATTTTCTGTCTTCACTATCTCAGGGTGCAGATCGTCTCCTAAGAACATGATGATACTACCATGGACAGACGTCAAAGCCAGTGTCAGAGAACTGACTGGACCACCTAACTGTGTGTGACTCTGGACTTCTGGATATTTCTAAGCTTCAGTTTTTCTCACTGGGAAATGAGGATCAAATTATGTCCCTTTTGGAGTGCTTGGAAGATTAATAGAATACACAAAGCGACTTTCACATGGGGAGGCTCAAGAGCTCCTGAGCCCTGTGATGCCTCTTCTCGTCTTCACCCAGCCCCACCACCCTCACCAATGTACTCCTACTTTCTCACACAAGAAATTTCTTTAATTTCCTCTAATACAATTCCTCAAATCCTCCTTCTAATATAACTCTTACAACCATGATCTCAGCTTCATAAGCCTTGCCAGAGGTACTACTGCTAATTAAGTTTTAGGGTCCTTGACGAGAACTGCAGATAGAGGTTTGTCCATGATACTGAACAGTTCCCTGGTTACAATGAGGAAAACCAAGAGTTGAGTGCAGAACTACACTCTAAGCATATACTGGTTAGGACATGCACCTGATAGAGACTGCCTAATGGAAGCAGGCGAAGACACTTGCCAGAAACAATTCTCTCAGCACAGAGAGGGCACCGCAGGCCCAGACACAATGATGTCTAGAGGAGCTCACCAGGCTTCCAAAAGAGAATCTGTGATGGCATCCCCAGGGAGAAGTCAACAAGAAGAGACAGGCCTTTCCCAAATGTTCCTTGCTTGGAAAAAAGATCAGGCACTACAAAGGAAGGCTGACTTTCTTGGAGCTCAGCTGCAGCTCCTGAGGAAAGAGATCATCTCCTCCCTCCCTTCTTTCTTTCCTTCCGGACATGGTCTTACTATGAAACTCAACCTAGCTAGCCTCAAACTCAAAGCAATCCTCCCGCCTTCTAAGTACTGGAATTGTGGAAACACGCCTCCAAACCCAGCTCTCAAACAATTGTCTATAAAGATTTTTCACATAAAAACAATTGAAGTACTGTCAAAGAATCTAAAAGAGGGTAAAATGTTAAATTGTATGCTGCCTATATTCTACTGCAATAAAAATCAATATGAGATATATATATATATATATATATATATATACACACACACACACAAACATATAATACATTTGTGTAATTCATACATACACAAAACATTGAAAGGCTGTAAGCTAGGGTTACCAGGGGCTTGCAAAACTTGAATAGAGAAGTTACACTTTTATTTTATTCTTTTTATTTTCCTATATTTTGCAGTGTCTCTACTACACACATATCACTCTACAGTCAAGGAAGAAATGGCTTCTTTAAACCATTAGATCCCATCAACCCATGAACGGGCTGTTTCCTCTGATGGAGGAGGTTGACTAGCTGATAAGTATGAAGTTCATATCAGGGACTAGCTTCTTTTCTAGACCTGCTCTCAGTTTTCACAAGGCAATTTCAGCCTTGCGGTCATCATAAAAGCCTCTCACTCACACACGGGCACTGCTGCAGAATATTTACAAGCTCCCCGAATCGCGTATACGGGTTTATGGTTGTTGTAATGAGGGAGGCCTTCATACGGTCCCGTGAGCTATGTCTGGGCTTTTGCTGGAGCAAGCAAGTTGGGCTGAGGCTTCCTATAGCAGCAGCAGCAGCAGCAGCAGCAGCAGCAGCAGCAGCAGCAGCAGAATGCAGTAAGGGAGTGGCCACAACAGAAGCTGGCCATCACAATTCTGCAATCTGTCCATAGGCCAGTGATCCTTGTCATCCCCTTTCTCTGAGCATTTGATCATTCATTAGTAGGATAAGAGGCTTAATATAATCTATGGCCCCCGCCTCTGAAATTTGAGCTCAGGACTCACCTCCTCTAGGGAGCCTTCCCAAAGGACTCGTCCAGAATTTGAGAGTCAATGTATTCCAAAGTGTCTTTACAGGGTTGCAGTCAAATTTGCACCTAGATATCCTTATACGACCTCAACAGTACTCAGAAGGCTGTTCTCCAGCCCTTTGGTCTATCTGTCCTGTTTCCAGCAGGTAATCCCAACCACTTGTCATTACAAGGACCTCAGGCAACCCAGCACATCCTGTGCACTGTGCAAATCACTTGCCCTGTTTAGAAGCCATCACTAATGGAGTACACTCTAAACAAGGACTTCATTCTGGAAAGGATCTACAGGGCATTGCCCAGTTGCCTTCTGTCTTTGGTTCATGCTCAGGTTCCCTGTGCTTTGCTCCTGCTTTACCTCCTGCTATGTTTTGTCCTCAGTAGATCGAGCCCCAGAAACTCCCTTAGCGTAGAAGTGGACTGTTGGGCTGAGGCCCTTGTTCTCCCTCCTCCAGATGACAAACTTGGTATTCTTCCAGACCCAGATCATATGGCAATAGCAGGCATCAGTACATTACAACACGGCACATTTTTCTAAGTGTCTTCAAGTAGTAACTAACTTTTGTCTTTGCTCTTAACCAAGTAGATGTGACAACCTGAACAGGTTTTGTAACCATTCTTTTATTGTTTTGTCTGTGCTGCTGGTTTTCTGTTCACATTTTAACAGCACTTTTCAGTTTTCTGGTTGACTCTGTATACCTTCTTTTTCCTGTAAAATATGGTACTGCCTAAATAAGCCTTTGCCGGTGACCATAACTTACAGCTGGGAATCTTGGCTTCAGGCCTGCTCTTAGCCCTCCCATCCAAATGGAAAAGCAAGAGACAGCAATGCCAGGTAACAAAAGAAACAAAGTGAATTTACAAAAGCAAAAACCCAGAA